CATTTTAATTCGTGTTACATTTGTGTTAATATTCATGCAAAAAAAAAACTATTAAATTCTAAATCAACTTATATAATATTATGCACCTTTTTTAAAAAATAATAAAATATCTATTTTTCGCACACAATCCTAAGTAAATGTATAACAAGTTTTTAACACTAATTTAACTTATTTGTTATGCGTATTTATTAGTCGTATCAATTTTAGTGTCATCTTCTATCGAGTTTATATTGTTGGGTACAATTTATATGTGTATACCTAAGTATATACACATCACTCTTTGAATTGTTGCATTGTAAATTTAAACTACGAAACAAAAACTACAACGCTAGCAGCGAGCTGTCAAGAAGTCAAATAAACAAAATTCACGATATAATACAGTTAATCAATGATGTATATATTATAATAAAGAGTTAAAGCATCTCCAACACCGCTACCTAAAATAGCTACTCAAAATATTTTTAAATATTATATTATCTACTTTAGTTAACCACTTTTTCAAATTCACTCCAACAACACTATCTATTTTAACTAACTATTTCAATTAACTTTCAATAATAAAATATAAAATACTATTTAATATGTCATGTCATCACCATATTGATGACATCACATGCTAACGTATTACGCAATGTCATCAAAATTTTAAAATTTTAATTTTTATTAATAACGGTCATATTTACAATAGTCAGAAAATTCAAAATTTTAAGGCACGCCGAAATTATCATAATATCTTCCTCTATTATAAAATTGCCACCTTGTTATTTTTTGATGGTGAATTCTACTTGAGGAGATATTGGTAAAGATTGACTTATAATTTAATCATCTAAATTTGTTCCATCATGCATGAGATTGGTGAAGTATGCACCATATTAGAATGAATCCATGTGTAATGCCTATAAGATGAGACAAACAGTGTTCAACTCTTACAGATTAACCATTAACCATCAACCATCCTTGACTCTATATAACTTTTAGGCAATCTCTAGGTCCAGCAAACCCAATGCAAAGACAATTCAATAAAACCCAATTCAATATTATACCAAAAGGAACAAAACAATTTAACCCAATGCCACCCAATGCCCATAGCCGTCCAAAAATTTAGAAACATCCAGAAGACTAACAGTAGAATCAACTAATTCCTTTCCACATACTTAGTACAAGCTAAGCAACCATTCAGTGACCCCACAATAAGAAAAGTCTAAATAATATGCAACGAACACCGTTATGATTCTCTGTGTGGCTTCTAAATCTAATTCATTCACTTAGATTATGTTTAATAAATTATGCTTCCTACTGTTTGCTCGCCAGAAAACTGATGAAAAAGAAAATTGAATTTTGGATTCAACATTTATCTTTTCCAGTTGCAAACCACCAGTACCATTATTGTGAAGGGTTAATCTCATTTTGCACCCTGAAAGATCGTTGGAATCTTAATTTATACCCCCAAAGATCAAAAATCTCAATTTACACCTTCAAAGATAGAAATTTGTATCAATGTGCACCCCCAAAGATCAAAAATTTTAATTTGTACCCTCAAAGATAGAAATCTGTATCAATGTGTACCTAAAATTAAATTGATAAATTATACCTAGATCCCCTCATGTTTGTCACTTAATCATTTGAACCTCTTCACATTTAGAATATTACTCCTACATCTCATGACGTTTGTACATGTGTAACACATAACCACTTTTCGTTGATATCTGTTAATATAATCGTTAAAAAATATAATTTTATCATAATAAAAAATTGTAATTTCATATTACCCTTTATTTTGTGGATTCGATATACTCTAAAGTTCAAAATTAAGCTTACCATTTGAATATCTAATAAAACGTAGATATTTATATAAAGGAAAATATGAAAAATATTATATAAATATCTACATTTTATTAGACATTCAAATAATAAGCTTGATTTTGAACTTTAGAGTATATTGAACCCATAAAATAAGGGTAATATAAAATTATAATTTTTTATTATGATAAAATTATATTTTTTAACGGTTTTATTAACAGATATCAATGAAATGAGTTACATGTTATACGTGCACAAATGTCATGAGATGTAGGAGTAATATTCTAAATGTAAAGAAGTCCAAATGATTAAGTGACAAGTATGAGGGGATCTAGGTATAATTTATCAATTTAGTTTAAGGTGCATAATGATACAAATTTCTATCTTTGAGAGTGTAAATTGAGATTTTTTATCTTTGGAGTGCACATTGATATAAATTTCTATCTTTAAGGGTGCAAATTGAGATTTTTGATTTTTGGGGGTGCACATTGATACAAATTTTTATCTTTGAGGGTGTAAATTGAGATTTTTGCTCTTTGAGGATGCAAATTGAGATTCGAACGATCTTTTGAGGTGTAAAATGAGATTAACCCTAGTGTGAATTACAAAAGCATATAAAGTCACAGAACTAAAATTAGAATTGCTTGTTTAAGAAAACACCTAGCTAATACACAGAACCCATGGGATCAAAGCCCTACTGTCAATCACACACCATGTTCCTCATATCAGTACGCTCATAAGAACTGAGATCCAGATCCCATGTCTCCCCAAAAACCCACAACACATTATCGAAATGGTCTCTCAAACTAAGCATATCAAGCAAGTTTCCCGAGAAATCACATTGATCGGATCGGATTAGCAGCCATAGACAAAGACAGAAACATCGAATACTTAAAACCTATTTACATATACATACACTACGTGTATATCTACAAATTAAGAATGAGGAAAAGGGCCAGATCTGTTGATTTGTATACCCATCATTAGAGAGTATACAAGAAGATAATTATTCTCGAAGGAATTGAAAGCCGGAGAAATGTTGATGCGATCCACAAACAGATATTCAATCAATCAAAAATCAAGAACTATGAGACAATCGAAACCATAAAGAAACAAATTTGAAGTTTTAGGGTTTTATCTTCGCATATCGATAAGAAACTCAGTTAAGAGGAGGGGTTTAGGTGAAATCAGAATACCTGAAGCAACAAACGATGGTCTGAAGCTTCGATGGAGGTTTGAAGTTTCGATGGTCTGAGTTTGGCAGAGAGAGGTAGAATACTAGAAGCTTTGAGAAAATTTGAAGCTTCGATGGAGTTTTGAGGCAGAGAGAGATAGGGATCAATGGAGTTATGTGGTCAATCCATGAAGAGCCGAAGAGAGGCAGAGACTGGCGCGAGGGAGATGTGGGCTAGCTACATGTATCGAGTGAAAAACGGGGGTTACGAGAAATTGATAGTTAGATATCTAGTTTGTGTGGAGTCACTTTTAAAGGAAAAACTATTTAAAATAGCCAAGGGGAAGAGTTTATCTAAGTCTCTTGGAGATGCTCTTACTAAAATTGTTGGTCTCTAAAATAATTATTTTTTGTCAAGTTAGTTCTCATTTTATCAATTGTCAATTTAATTTTTAAAGTATTCAATTCGTGTCATTTTAGTCTCTACATAGACGAACTATTAAGTTTTTGATAAAATGATAACGTGTTGAGCACGTGATACTGTCTAAAAAAATGATACGTGATCACTTTCGTAAAAAAATTTGACGGATTGTCTGATTAGATACCAGAGTAACACGAATTGAATATTTTAGAGATAAAATTGTTATAATAAAGACTAAACTGACAAAATATGTATACTTTAGGGACTAAAAATACTATTAACCCTATAATAAAATTGAATTACACTTTAATAATTTATAATCTCTCCCCACTATTTCCTCAAAATTTATGAGTATTCATTTGTTGTTTCAATCTTTTAAACTTAATTACATCTAATAGAATGAATAATTATATCTAAAATAATGAATAATTTTATTTTTGATTAGGGGATGAACTACATATAATATAATGAATATATCCTAACTAGATTGATTCTTACTCACTTTTCTATCATTTGCATTATTCTATTTTTTAAAACTTGTATGATTAATAAATGGAAAACAAAATATATTATTTATAGAATCTAAATTTTTAAAATTTCAAATTTTGACATTAGAAAATTTATTTCAAATTTTTAAATTTAATAATCTAAAAGTATAATTTTTTTTTAAAGGAATGGTGGGCTAGCTGGGCTTGGTGAGCGGGCGGGTTCTTAGGCCAGATTTCAGGTCGGGTAATGAGTTTGGGGGCAAACCCAAACCCTCTTTTTAAAAAATATTTGGTTCAGGCTCATGTGACTAATTATCGGGCTTCGAGTCTATTTTTTCGGGCTGGATAATTGGACCCGTGGGTAACCCAATCCGTGAACATTCCTAATTATAACTTTATAAGTATAATATTGAGAATAGTTATTTTATTAAGAATATTATTATTAATCAAAAGTTTGTCATTTTTTTTGATATTTTATAATAGTATAGATATAAATAAGTTGACCTTTAAAAATTATAAATTTTATTATTGACTCTATTTTTTTAATATTAATCATATTCTTTACAAATAATTTGCGGTTCAAAATATTATAACTTAATTTTGAAAAGTTATAATCCGTAATCTTCCTCTTTAACAAGAGACAAAGAAACCAAATGGGGACTTGTATTCCCTAATGTCGGCCAGACACTGACCTCAACAATAACAATGACATAAATATTAGGAATCGACTATGATATCGAAAAAAAAAAATGATATCATACATTTAAAATTTATTATTTTAATAATTATTTTAATAATTTTTGTGAATTATTTTACAATTAAAAATTAATCACTGTTGTGGTTTATTTATTAATTTTGTGAATATTTTTTATCATTGTTGTAGGTATTTTTATTACCACCCATATTTTGTTAACCTCGTGGCACGTAAAACCCAAAGTTTTTTTTACTTCTAGCCAACACATTGTGGGCGGCCGCCTGTTCTCAAATACTCCGCGGCCTTCAATGAAGATATTCACTATAAATAGACATTGTAATAAGACCTCTTAGCACAAGCCATCAGAGCACATTCAAGCAATTGCACAAGGGACAACTTTGGTGAAAGTAAATCAAAGGTGTAATGGCTTCCAAGAATTTGCTTGTCGTCCTTGCCATTGTGGCTGTTGCTCTTCCCTCCGTCGCCATGGCAGCTGAAATTTGGGTCGGAGGTGATAAGGGTTGGACCATCGATTTTGATTATCAAACTTGGGCCAAGGAAAAAGTATTCAATGTTGGAGACACCCTAGGTAAGTTATTTTGCTAACTATGTTTTACGAGTACAAACTTGGGCGAGTCGGGGGTCATCGTGAGTTACTGGACACCAATGCCGACCCGAACCCGACATTCAACCCGAATCATTCAACTTGAAAATACTTGTGTTTGGATTTTAAAACTCAGGTTGAATGACTTGGACCGAAATTTGAGTTCATTTCGAGTTCTATGTTTGGGTTTAACTATCGGGTTGAAAAATTCAAGTTTGATTATGGAGTGCTACGACTTAGATTGAAATTTGGGTTAACCTATTGAGTTTGAGGTAGATTTGGGTTTAGACCTAAATACCCGTGACGCAAACTCAAGTAAATTCATTCATCCCAAATTTCAACAATGTTTGAATTTATTTGCCTAAACTCAACCCAAGCATTGAATTTTTTTATTCTAATACTAAATATGTCGGATTGGGATTGACTCAACCTGAGGATTGAAGTTTTCTATTCAAGTATTTACTATTTTCGAGTTGAGCTCAGGTTGCCTCATCCAAGTTGCACCCATGCTCTAGGAGGGAGTGGGGGCATGCCCTCTCCATCCATGTTTAATTAGGAAATTCCCGTTCTGATAAGGCTAAATTTTGGGATCTTGCTTGAGTATATCCATACAAATAAACGTTCCTTCCACAAAATCTTGTATATCAGCCTTACACTTTTTTTTTTTTGACCAATAAATGCACCATTTCATTTAACTTGGAAATTAATAAGTAGTTACAATCTGATGAAAGGAAAGTCTTGACTCTAGTGGTGGACAGATGACCCAACTCAATGGTAGAGTATGGGACAAAACTGATGCTGCCACCCAGTGAGCTGTCTTGTTATCGGCTCTACACTTGTGTAAGAACTTTAAGGTAAGTTGTCTTGCAATAGCTTTGATATCTTCGACCAGAGAGCTGATTTCCCAGGGGGGGACTCCTTCAGTTGAGCTCAGCATTATCACTTACAATAGTGGCCTGCTGGAGCTGCATGGTATAAACCAGAAGACAGGCTTGCCACACAGTCACTGCTTCTGAGTATAAGCTAGACACCGCTGGGACTTGTTTGCCTATGCCATCCCTGACTTTACCATCGCTATCCCATACAATAACTCCTACAGCCACCTTCTTCCCTTTAAAAGCCCCATCACAACAAAGCACTGGTCCTGTGCTTAGCACTGAGTTTTGAGTCTCCCTTTGGACTGGTTCGGACGCTTGGTGCATCGAGGGGAGGGAATTAAGTGAGTTTACTTCATTCCAGAGTGATTGTGATCTGAGGATTGTAGCAAAAGCATTTGTCTCCTCTTGATTGAAGACTTTCTGATTTCTTGCTTTTCAAATTGTCCATCCAATTGTTTCTATTTTTCCCATTACTTCCAATGCCTGCTGGTTGTTATCTAAGGAGTCCAGTACTGAGGAAGACCATTGAGAGATTGTCATTGGAAGTTCCTTTTCAATTCTTACACCCAGCCAAACCAGACTCTTTTGGTCCATTCGCATCCAAATAGCATGTGCTCAGTTGTTTCCACTTCACTCGAGCAGATTGGGCATTTCGGCGAAGGGGCACACTGTCTTTTGAATATATCAACCTTACTGCAATATATAAAAACAATGGACTCGTTTGGAGCTAACTTTTTTGGGTGTGAAACAGATGTTTGAAAAGTGAAATAAAAAAATCGGAGTTAAAAAACTGCTGCTGAATAAGCTCGGATCCAAACGGACCAGACTTCTTTTCCTATGAAACAAAAAAAAGTTAAGGTTTTAAGTCAACTTTAAACATACCCAATGTTCTAACGAACAAAAATTTTTGTATGCAGTTTTCAACTACACCCAAGGGCACCATAATGTGATCAAAGCGACTAAAACTGCATTCGATAGTTGCATCAAGCCACCGCAGAACTAAGTCGGTTCTGTACGTGATGTGATCACCCTGGCCACACCAGGTAAAAATGGTACATTTGTGGTATAGCAAGTCATTGTGCTGACCAAAAACAGAAGCTGGCCATCACTGTCGAGGTAGGAGCTCCGGTACCGGCAGCTGAACCACCAACCAGTTCAGTCTCCGGGATCGTGGCGTCGGGATATCAAGTTCTCATGGCTGCAGTGGTTGCTCTTGGAGTGGTCGCCATTGTTTGACCTAATATGTAACACATCCGTTTGATGCTACATTGCCAAAGAATAAGAGGTTTATAAGTCTAGACACTTGCCTAAACAAAAAATAGGCAGCTACAGACCTTTTGTCAGCTTGTTTTACTACTTTATCTTTTAATAATATGTATTTTTGGATGAACAAATTGTCATAGAGTTGAATTTAAATTTAATAATAACATATCGTATTGGGGATTATATAAGAAGTGTTCATGAATAATAAATATTTATTTTTTAGTAGTGGGGTTTTGGTAATGGAGAATCATCTTCAAAACTTAGATGGCCTTCGCAATATAGATCTCGAATTAGGGAGATGCTTGGAAATCATTTGCATTAATTAAAACCATATTTTATGCAATTAGAAAAACTCAAACTCATAACGTGAGAATTGACAAATTATCCCTTGTTCCACCATCAAATTAGATATTAATTCTATTAAATAGGTTATAGTGATAAATTTAAAGGTATAAGCGAATGGTTTCTTCAATATCATTGACAGAGATTACTTGGAGTAACAAGACCGTCGTGCGTCTAAAAGCCATAAAAAGTTAAAAAGTGATAATAGAGATAGAATGAGTCGGATTTAGAATTGATTAAGACTAGTGGTGTTGGATCAAGACTCATCGCTTTGGCATTAGCTCTACATCATTTATGCCCTCAAATTTCGTTTTTGCCATTTTAAAAAAGAATTCAAAAATTAATAATAAATTATAGAATATTCTGAATTCAGTGCTGTCATTTTTGTTAGACTCCAGACAACATGTGGTTTTTTGTTAATTAGTTGGATTGTAATATTCTTTTTTTTTTCGCAGAATCAAAATATTTTTATTCTATACACTTAGAAACGATATTTTCTTTCTATTCATTCTTCCGCCGAGTCAGAGCAGACCAAAAGAAAGTCATGATCTGGAAGGACTGTGGCTGCCAAATATTATTCGACGGCTTCTAAAGAACTACCAAACATTAAAAGCTTAACTTTTTTTTCTTTGAAATCAGTTTCTATTAAGCTCCACATGTATTTCTTTATTTAAAATACACTTATTTAGTGGAGGAGATTACCGCTACTATAACATTTAGTGAAGGTCAAATATACGCAATTTTGCATTCACTAATCCACGTGTATTCCATTACATGACAGATGCAACAACAACAGAAGAAAAAAAAAAAAAAAAAGCCAAAATAGACCACTGACCCATAACAGAAATAGCTCTATAATGTCTATAGAGTTTCTACTCTTATGGAAAAGAAGCTGCAGAATACGAGGAAGACTGGAAGTAGATAAGGCGCAGGGAAAGTCTATGGTATCACAAAAACAAAAAAAAAGTGATACCAATATCGTCGATTATTATTTTTTATAGTAAAATTATAAATTTAAAAAGAGAAGTTATAGCTATTCAAGAAAAGATCATAATCGATTATAGACACTCATGATTGATCATAAACTCTCGATATCGATCTCAACCTTTTACGATCGATCATGTCCTTTAATGTTATTACTTATACCTTAAAAAAGTTATAACTTAATATTAAAAGACTATAATTTTCGGTATAATACCATTGACGATACCGTAGCCTTTTCCCAAAGTTTGTCACTTTTCGGTGTAATATTAATATTGTTATTATGACTTTATAAGAATAATATTGACATTAATTATTTTATTAAGATTATTATTATTAATCAAAAGTTTGTCACTTTTTTTTATAATATAATAGATATAGATAATTTGACCTTTAAAATTTATTAATTTTATTATCGATTATAATTTTTTAAGATCAATATAATTCTTTACAAATAATTTTCGATTCAAAATATTATAACTTAATTTTAAAAAATTATAATCCGTAATCTTCCTCTTTAACAAGAGGCAAAGAAACCATTGGAAAGATATGGCAGCGGTAACGGTGGAAAAAAAGATGGAAATGGGGACTTATATTCCCCTACCTCAATGTCGGCTCGACACTGATCTCAACAATAACAATGGCATAAATATTAAGACTTAATTACGGTAACGAAAAAAAAGAAAGATATCGTACCTAATAAATTTACTATTTTAATAGTTATTTTTATGGACCATTTTATCACTAAAAAATTTTATCACCGGTTGATTTATTAATTTTATGAGTGTTTTTATTATTGGTGTAGGTGTTTTTATTATTTTTATGTTAACTATTTTACTATTTTTCTTCGATACAAAAAATTATCCCTTTTGTTGTTAATTTATCACTATTGTGGTAATTATTTTTACTATTTTTTTTCGGTACTTCATCGGTGATGAAAACATTCAAAATAGAGATAAAAATACTTACAAATATAGTAAATGTCTGGACGTTCCAATAGCATCACTCTTCGGGTAAACGAGACATTCCAATCGGATCACTCTCATAGCTTGCACCACCCACATTTGTTTAAACTTATGTAATCATTGGTACGTACATCCCAATGTTTTTCTCTTAACTACAAATGATGTTTGCGAAAATTCTCACGAGAGCCGAATTACTATAAATCCATAGTGTAATTAGAACCCCATAGCACAAGCTGCCATCAGAGCACATTGAAGACAATGGTGATGCACAAATTGAGTTTTGCATACCACATGTCAAGTGAACAATAATAAATGCAGTAGTCAAATAAAGAGATATAGAGACATAAGGATTTATAAATGTTCGGTCAATGTGACTTACGTCCACTTTGAAAGGCTAGGGTCGTCGAAATATTTTATTATTTCGAGAAATATAGGGAGAGTAGGGAGCTACAAGCTGAGGGAGAGAGTGTTACAGAGATGTGCTCGACTGAGGGTGATTTGCCCTCCAAGTATTGGCGGGGTTTACAATTTATAATCGTCTCATAACAGATTTGAGCGAGATATTAGTAACTAAGTGATTGATCTGTTGGAGCTGACGATTTCTTCTCAACGGCTGAGACAGTTACGGTGCTCTCCATGAGATTCGATCAAAGGATGAGGTGAGGGTTGACTCCTTCCAAGGCGGCGAGGATGAGGCTCTTGGATGACCTGCATGTTCCCTTGGTGATGTAGCTCGCCGAATTGATGAGCTTGACCGGGTGTGGATCCCTTTGGGCTGGATATTAGATTTTTATAAGTTGGACTCTCTAATTTAAGTTGGGCTTATAATATGAGTTGGGTCTGGCCTATCATTTGTCCCCCCAATGCCATGTTTCGAATGAAGCTTGGAGAATAGGGCATTTTAGTTGAGTTTGAATTCTGATCACGAAGACTCCCCTTGACTACGGAAATAAAGTTAACGTCAGTTTCAACCCAACAAGGGCTCTCTAGCAATCTGAGAAGAATCCCGATTCGTCCATGTTGCGCTTCGACTGGATTTCAGGGATCGACCTGACCCCCGAAATCTGAAAACGATTTTCTGAATCACAAGCTAAGACTCCTCCTCCATTCTTGACATATATTTTAGCTTTGTAGGACATTTCCATCTGTATAAACTCTCCCACTTTTATCTCCTTTTGGATTCTAGGGCGTGACCGGAGGAGAAGGCAGGGCTTGTGCTCTGCAGGGCGCTAAGGAGCCAGGCCCCTAAGGCTGCTAGGTGCCTGAGAGATGCTAGGCGCTTGTGCTAGGTGCCTAAGAGGTTGGGCGCCAGGGTTGGGCTCCTGAGAGGTGTTGGGCACCTGGGTTGGGTGCTTGAGAGGTGCTGGGTACTTGAGTTGGGCGCCTGAGAGGTGCTGGGGCGCTTGAGAGGTGTTGGGCACTTGGGTTGGGCGTCTTGCCTGAGAAATGTTGTGTGATGCCCCTAAAATCGGGGGTCCCGTTGACGACTCATCAACCCGCAAAAATGCCCTTGAGTGTCATTTGATTCGACATCACGCTAATATTTTTCAATTACACGGAATTTTAACTCACACGTATTACCCGTGTTCCTTTAATCATTTAATTTAACCGTGGCTCAAGGTACCACAATTCATGCCTCTCTATTGTCCAATTTCATCTTTGGAATCAAATGAATCAAAGACCGAGAGCACAACACTTTAGTTTTAAAGTTTCAAAATTTTGTCGAGAGCACCGATATTGTTTGCTCACTGGCCCTGGCAGTACCGGTGCCGTTTGAACTGTACTGGTACTGTCTGCCTTCCAAAATTTTTTTCAAAGTTTTGGAAAGAGTATCGATACTGTGTACCGGTGTTGTTTGCTTGCTGAACCAGACTGTACCGGTACACTGTATCGGTATTCTCTGCCCAATTTAGCCTATTTCTACTGTTTTTCCTTTTAAAACCATTTCAAATCATCTCAACACCATCTAAAACATGTCTAACAATGTTTATCACATAAAACTTGATATCTACAAGTTCTATTACAATCTATTCACACGATTTCATACTCAACACTGTAATTTTACAAAGTTCATGGAAAATGTATTACAAAAGCCACAAGTCAACTTTTCTTCATCTTTGAGGCCCCGAATGAGAGTCCTCCGTCGGTGTAAACCCCGCACCTGAAATGTGTTCTCGTATAGGGTGAGCTATGCTCAATAGAGTATCTCCTACAGAGGCTACTCCTCAATCTAGATGCATATGAAGTGTTTACAATGCAACCAATCAATAATTCAAAACATTTCAATCAAGATATGCATCCAATGATAGAAATTCTTTGTCATGTCATGTAATGAGATGAGACTCACTCATGCACTTTAACCCGAGTCCTCACCGACTCCCACAACACAATACAATGCACTTGTGAAATGAAACCGTCATTTGACAAAAAATTCATCCAATGATTGTTTGAAATAAAAGTTATGTTTTTATAAAACCAAACCATTGATGGATGTTACCCATTGATTGAGTGTTTTAAAAACCAAAAACCTTGTATCTTTGTTGGGCAACGGATTTTGGTTTCTCAACCGCCGGTTCCGTACACCATCACACTTTTGTGAAATTTCACCGCTGAAAAGTGTGTGAACCAAGTAGCCGGGTATTGCATCCGAGGGAGAATCTAACCCTTCTTGCTATACCCGACACA